GCAGGCCTGAAGGCCCATTGCAAAGGATGGCTTCCAGGCCTGACACATGCTTCCCTTCACATCCCCATCAGTTCCTTCAACCTTTCTTCCCGTCCTTTGCTTTCCATTTCCAGACTAGTCCCCAAAAGGCAACATAGATAGATACTAAGGAATTAATGAAATGGGCATCTCATGATTTACTTCAGGGCTATCTAACCTTGGCAACTTTTAACACCTGTGGACTTCAACTCCCAGAATTCCCCAGCCAGCCCTGCTCTACACTTTTGGTTCCCATTTGTTTTCTGAGGGACTGGCTGCCTTTACCATTTGATCTCTGAGCTTCCTTCACCTTTCATATCACAGATGTCGTATTAAAGGCACATTTTGTCTGGCTGAAACGTCTCCTCGGCAGATGCAGCGCCACGGAGAGCTGATTTCAGCTTGTGGTGTCCATCTGTGCCAGCTTGGCAAGACTGAACAGAACCAGCCATGTGATGTGTCAAATCCTCAGCAGATGCTGTTTCTCCTATACTGCTCACATTTTGTATTAAGATTGCCTCTGTCCCTTCTGCTGCATTTCCCTTGCTTCATGGGGGGCTGCCTATTTCCATCTCTCTCTCTCTCTCTCTCTCTCTCTCTCTCTCTCTCTCTCTCTCTCCCCCCTCTCTCTCTCCTCTGCCCACCTATGGATCAAGAAGCATTAGCAATCAGTTGTTAGAGGAGACTGTGGGGGTGGTTTGCAACTCTCTAATTAAAGCTTTGGGGTACAGAATAACAAGGCAGCTTAAAATCCAACAGCAACGTAAGGATAAACTGTATATGGGCTGTGAGCGGGGATCATGTCACTCTCTCTGTCCCTCGCTGACTGAATGACATATCTGTGCCTCCAAGCAGAAGTGTGTTGCGCTTCTCTTTGTTTAGGCTGTGCCAAGTAGCTTCCAGTAAAATCTGAAGCATTCTAATTTGGTTCTCTACTCCAGTGCTGTTGATGCGGATGCTGATCTAACTGCAAACTCACAGCCTCTCCAATCTCCTATTAAACAGGGAGATGTTTTATGAATGCAGCCCTTAACAAGAAGCTAGAAACCCACATATGCTTAGTCGATTGTCTTCTTGGGCATGTTTGAACATTTCCACCATAAGGACTGTGACCAAAATGATAGTCTTTATGATAGTCTTTTCTTTCAGGAAGCTGTCCTTTGGATTTATGTATTTTTCAAAAAAACTCACATTTGTCTTTTATTGAGACAAATATTTGACACATTTGTCTTTTAACTGAGCCTGGATAGCTCTGCAGACAAGGCACTGTAATTTAACACCAGCTGTCTGCAATTAAAGTAAGTTCAAATCTTGCCAGGCTCAAGGTTGACTCAGCCTTTCATCCTTTCTAAGGTAGGTAAATTGAGGACCCAGTTTGTGGGGGCAAGAAGCTGACTTTGTATAAAATATACAAAAGTATGAAGGCTATTGCTTAACGCACTGTAAGCCACCTTGAGTCTCTGGAGAAGGGCAACATATAAATCAAATTAAAAAAAAAAATTGGGCGAGTGAACTTAGGGTGTGCGATGGCCCAGCAGTTAAAGACGCTGAGCTTGTCAGCTGGAAAGCAACAGGGTGAGATCCTGTTCCTTGCTCCAGCTCTTGCCCACCTAGCAGTTTGAAAGCATGCAAATGCGAGTAGATAAATAGGTATCACTTTGGTGGGAAGGTAACAGTGTTCCATGTGCCTTTGGTGCTTATAGCCATGCTGGCCACATGACCGTGGAAAGGATCTTGGGACAATGCTGGCTCCCTCGGTCAAGAAATGGATATGAGCACTGTGCCCTAGAATCAGACACGACTAGGCAGGGAAACCTTTACTTATCTTTTGCAGTATTTTGCATTCATGTAAAGAATACAGAAATGGAATCTTCTTTTTAAAATTAATTCAGAGGAGCACAGTTCTGAACTTGAGCCACTGTACTTAACCCCCGAACCAAATAATTCAAGAGTCTTCAGCTTTGATTTCATGGTAATGATCCGTGTTTTGATATTCCACAGATAGTCCTTTAAAGTTTCTGTTGATGGTCCTCTTTTCTGTCTTCCTCTCCCGATGTGCATTCAGATTTTTTTTTTTTCTCCTTGTCTGGGCTCTTGTTTTTCCACTGATCATCTCATCCTGCATTGTTACCTGGATCAAAGCTGGGATGTAATTTTTTACTCTTCTGCGCATTGATGATGTTACCTAGTTTGGTAATGAAACGGTTGCAAGAAAAAAGCCAAACTCAGAGAGCACCAACCACCAGGGGTGGGCTTCAAAAATTATAGCAGGGGATTCTCTGCCCAGTTGCTGGGTGGGCGTGGCCATGGTGGGTGTGGCCTAGTCGGCCTGGTGGGAGGGCATTTTTGCCCTCCCCGGGCTCTGTAGGCTTTCCTCGAGCCTCCGGGAGGGCGAAAACAACCTCCCCAGGCCTTCCCAAACTTCCGGTAGGCCCGTTTTTCACCCTCCCCGAGCCTCCGCACATGCCCTGCACTTAACCTGCATCCAAAACAGGCCACGCGGGGACTTCTGGGAGGGGCAGGGTGGGGTGGGAGGGGCCAGCCAGGAGTAGGATTTGGGGTTCTCCTAACTGTACAGAATCTTAGCTAGAGGTTCTCCCAAGCCTCTGTCCACCCCTGACCAACATCCTACGTTTATTGCTCTATCTTGAGTCAAGCATTGCCCTGCCTTTTAAACCCTTTTTCATTTCCTATCTTTTTCCTTCCATTATTCTACTTGACCTTCCTTCCCTTATTTGTTTCCCTTGTTTCAAATGAAATTTTAATTTAGCTTAACAATTAGATCCATTCATACTGTTGTATTCGGTTACTTTCTGGTATGCCTGTCCCGCACTGCTCACTGACTTTGCAGAACAATCCAAAAAAATATTTCTATATAGAAAACGAAATGCTACTTTTTTTTCCTTCCCAAAGCCTTGCCTATTGTCTGCCTCATCCTTCACTTTCTTCCTTCTTGCATTTCCATTCTTCAAACTGAAACCCAATGGTTAAATCTTCTGTTCCATGCACAACCCTCGTTTTTCTTTTGTAAGGTCCCAAAATACACTTGAGTCACCAGAATGCTAAAGAGAGAGACTCAAGACGAGGCTTGCAAAAAAGCAGATTTTATTTATGGCCAAAAACAAAATACTGGGTGGAACTATATCCAGAACATACAGATACAATGCATGCGAGGAAATAGCCACACCTTGGGGAAGGTATGGCGTCCTTTTATACCCTCAGAGACGTCAGCTTAGTACCCAATTCTGGCCTCCTAATTTAGGTTTGTATATTCCTTATTGCCCTGCAAGGGGGAATAGAAACTTCCCAATTAGTTTTATCTTAAGCATTTCTTCGTTTACTCAATTGGCCACTTAGCCCCCTGGCTCTGGAAGACAGGAGTTTATCCAGATCAAAGATAAATTAGGGCTGAGGTGTAAATTATCCCTTTGTTGATGGCTGTAGTTTCAACTGAGATACGTACCATGTTTTTAGATAGCACAGAAAGAAGATTGATATGAGTTCAGGTCAAATGGCAGGGACATACGTTTGACAAATACCAGATACATTACAGAGGCCTAATAACAATATGTTTGTAACAGGAGATACAAATATAAAGGCATATATGTATTACAGGAACCTAATGGTTACAAAATGTAATATACCAGTATATCATATTCTAGTATTATTTATTATATCCTTATTATTGTTTCCCTTCACTTTCTCTATCATACGCGTGGAATGCTTTGCCCATAATCTTGAAAATACTGCTATTGCAAATTATGCAGTTTCTCAAAGTTCTCTTCCCTTGGTACAGATACAGAATAGAATATAAAATAACAGAGTTGGGAGGGAGCTTGGAGGTCATCTTGTCCGACCCCCTGCTCAAACAGGAGACCCTATATCATTCCAGACAAGTGGCTGTCCGGTCTCTTCTTAAAAGCCTCCAGTGATGAAGCACCCACAACCTCTGGTCTAGACTATGACCTTAATGAAGTTTTGATTTGATCTGAATTGAATTAGCATGTAATTGAAACACATTTAATTTTGTAAACTCAAGTTTAGGTCTCAGCATGTTGTGTTAATATAGCCAGTGTGAGTCATAGCATGGGCTTTGTGTTCTGCAGAAAATAATAGCAATAGCACAAGACTTATATACCGCTTCACAGTGCTTTACAGCCCTCTCTAAGCAGTTTACAGAGTCAGCCTATTGCCCCCAACAATCTGGGTCCTCATTTTACTGACCACGGGAGGATGGAAGGCTGAGTCAACCTTGAGTCTGGTGAGGTTTGAACTGCCAAACTTCAGTCAGCCAGCAGTCAGCAGAAGTAGCCTGCAGTACTGCACTCTAACCACTGTGCCACTGCAGCTCATAATGGTTCTAGTCTACCACTAAGATGAACATCTATGGATCTGACTACAGCATAGTTTACACTTGCTGCAGCTTATTCATACTTGCTTCAAGATGGGAAAAGGCCATATCCTGTAATTAAGAATGTCTAAAAAGTTCAAAGAGGATGAGAAACAATTGCTGTAGATGGAGAGGTCAAGGGGATGTGTAGTGCAGAAAGATTTTATGTCCTCCTGCTGGTTTTAATTTAATTTGAAGTATTTGTCAGAATAACATCAAAGGAAAAAGCAGTTTTGGCGACATTCTCATAGGTGGAGCCTGGTGTTCTTACACTTATTTAGCAATGAGATATTGAATGTGAACAAGCTGACTTAAACCCCAAGAGCACATCCTTATTATGTGCCGTTTTCCAATAACACTCATCCCTAAGGGAAAGTCCTGCCTTTGAGAAATGGTTTAGATTTGATGCAAAAATTTAGAAAGCAGTTCATGTCCAGCGGCTTGAATCTTCTCCTTGAACTTCATCCAGACACACAGACTTGCATTTTGCACACTTATCGTTTGATTAACAATTTTCTGGTTTTACGTTTCCGAGCGTCCGAGCATTTTTATCTCTTCTGCAGCGTCTTTCTGATTTTCCCCCCTTTTGCAGATGGTTTGACAGACTGTGTTGATCCTGATTGCTGTCAGCAGAGTAATTGCTTCTCCAGCCCTCTCTGCCAAGGGTCCCCTGATCCTCTGGACCTCATTCAGCAAAGCCAACCTCCTTTCTTGCAGCATTCGCCCAGGCTCTTTTATGACAGGATCAAGTTTCTGATTGGCAAGGAGAGCACTCATGTCATTCAAGCCGATGTCTTATTTGAGAGCAGGTAAGTCTCCCCTCCCTCCTTTCTTCCCTCCCTTTTATATCACTACTAGACATTCTTTTTCCTGGATTCTTAAATGGTGCAGTTGATCGCCTATGGCAGGATTGTCAAACTGGATTTCTTTGAGGGCTGGATCAGCATTGTAATTCTCCTCCATAGGCCAGCGCGGTGGGGGGGAGCGGGAAGCGGGGGGAGGAGATGGGACAGACGCCTCCTGTGGCACCCTGCCAGCCAAAACAGCATGTGGGGGGCCACGTGCAACCCCCTCTGCCCCGTTTTCAGCCTGGACAGTCTCCTGCAGCACTTTGCCAACCAAAACGGGGCACGGGGAAGTCCTGTGAGGCCCCCGCGCAGCCCATTTTTGGCCTCCCCAGCCATCTGCAGCACTCTGCCGGCCAAAACCAGCCATTTTGGCCGGCAGAGGCACCACATTCCAGTCCTTTGATATTTCCAGGCTGGTCCCACGGGCCAAATTTAAGCACCCTGCGAGCCACATCTGACATCTGGCTTCAGTTTTGACACCCCTGATCTATGGAGATTCTCAGTCATCCAGATCATGGTTGTCCCAAAGGTGCTTTTCCAAAAAGGCACATGGACTTTCTTGGTTTCTTTTCTTTGAAAATATTTCACTTCTCATCGATGAAGCTTCTTCAGTTCTGACTGAATGGTGGGGAATAGAAGGATTTACATTCTTTGCAGTCATCTGCAAGAGCCGAGGTGGCGCAGTGGTTAGAATGCAGTATTGCAGGCTACTTCTGCTGATCACCAGCTGCCTGCAATTTGGCAGTTCAAATCTCACCAGGCTCAAGGTTGACTCAGCCTTCCATCCTTCTGAGGTGGGTAAAATGAAGATCCAAATTGTTGGCGGCCATAGGCTGACTCTGTAAACCGCTTAGAGAGGGTTATAAAGCACTGTGAAGCGGTATATAAGTCTAAGTGCTGTTGCTATTGCTATCTGGTCATTGTCCAGAATGTGAACCGAGGACCGCCAGTTTGACCATCTATCAAAGACCTAAAAGAGGCCATCTATTGAACCGTCTCTCAACAGAGGGGGAGGGATACGACATCACTTATCTCCTGTCTACAGCAAAGTCCTTTCAACAATCCCAAGGAGGTTTCACACCTATTTGCACTGTGATTCAGGTGACCCTGAGAATACAGATAAAGCCCCAAGTGGCCTTGGAGAGCTAATGAATTAAAATCCTTCTATTCCCCACTATTCAGTCAGAACTGAAGGAGCATCTTGGATGAGAAGCCAAATGTTTTCAAAAACAAAACAAGAAAGTTTGGTTGCCTTTTGGAAAAGCATCTTTGGGATACAGTTGATCAAGATTTATTCCTGTGTTTTTTCCCCTTCGTGCTGTTGGCTCAGGGAGTCTTGGGAGCTGCTGTTCGCGCATATCTGCCAGATGGAGAAAAAATGTTTTGACATTGTTATGTCTCTACATCTGTTTCACTTTCTTCCATACTGTGGATGTGCAGGAACTGTGCAATCTAGTTCAGTGTCCTAATATGGAACTTTGGTCATTACTTGACCCAGATTGTTGGAATGATAACCTGATCCAATTTGTTGCTTGGACTTAGGGCAAGATTTGGGGGAGGGAGTAGTTTCTCCTCCTGTAACCTAGCACTAGAAAAATATAAATGCCTGTTCTTGTTTCTTTGCTTTGTTTTTCCAATTCATTGAGTTTCAGAGAATGTAGAGTTGAATGGAATGGAATGGAATGGGAGGGAAGGGAAGGGGAGGGAGGAGAGGAGAGGAGAGGAGAGGAGAGGAGAGGAGAGGAGAGGAGAAGTCAAACTTGCAGCCCGTGAGTGAGATATGTCATGCGCTGGCCACACCCATGCCCAGTTTATCAAAGGGGGAAAAGGTCCTCACACGATGCCACCTTGATGATACAAGTTTGACACCCCTGGAATAGAATATAGAAGAGAAAAGAGAAGAGGAGAGGAGAGGAGACGAGAGGAGAAGAGAAGAAATGGAATGGAACGGAATGGAATGGAACGGAATGGAACAGGACAGGACAGGACAGGACAGGACAGGACAGGACAGGACAGAATAGAAAAAATGGAATGGAATAGAATTAGAATTAGAATTAGGAATAGAATAGAATAGAATAGAATAGAATAGAATAGAATAGAATAGAATAGAATAATGTCTTTCAAACCAAATGTGGTGTTTTAACTTCTTTAAAATCTGAAGTTCTCTTAACTTTGAAATTATCTGTAGCCCCAAAACACCATGATGTGGTTATAATCCTTAGCATCACTTTGATTGTGAATATACCTTTCAGTTAGTCTTTCTTTTACTTCTCTACCTAGTGATACATAAATGACAGGTATTGTTTGGTGCAACTGCCATGAAAATACTACTTCATACTTTCCCAAATCAAGACAAAACCCCTATTTTATGTGCACACAATAAAATTATAATGTTGAATAACTTATTCAAGGTAATATTCTCAACAAGAGAAAATGAACAAATATCACTAAAGCTCTTACCTTGAGTTTATCTGTCTGGAATGGTTAATGCAGTAAATTATATGTTTTTAAGCAAAATGGTCTTGTGATAATTTCCCTACCAGAAGTGCACTTCAGAGATTAATATCTCTTCTCTTGATAGCTGATGAATGCTGGAAATGTGTTCGATATCAAACAATGAGCAAGACACTTTGAATGCCACACAGTAGAAATGGGGTGGGTGGATGGGTGGAGAAATGCATTAATAAAATTAATGCATTACTACTAAATAAATGAATAGACATAAAACAAATAAATCGTGTGATTTGGCCAACACTAAATCACTTCATTTACCATGATTGCCACAAACCTGCATTTTCCATTCGTATTGCAATCTACTCTGGAACGTGTTGGGCCGCTCTGTCTATGATATGAGGTCTTACTTTAGATAGTCTATCATATTATATTTTAAATGTTTGTACCAGCACCATCTGTATAAGACTCACATCTCCATCATTTTCTAATATGTTTTTTTTTTCATGAAGAGGTCAAAATTTTGTAAGCTTGAGGGGAAAATTAGAGGGAATCTAACATAATTAGTCATAATTATATTGTGGCGACCAGTTGAGACTCTAGAAAGATATTGAGACTGTAGAAAGATACAGAGGAGATCAACAAAGTTGATTAAGGGACTGGAGGCTAAAACACACAAAGAACAGTTGCACGAATTGAGTATGTCTATTGTGACAAAAAGAAGGACCAGGGGTGACATGATACCAGTCTTCCAATATTTGAGGGGCCGCCCCAGAGAAGAGGGGGGTCAACCTGTTCTCCAAAGCACCTGAAGGCAGGACAAGAATCATTGAAATCAAGAATCAAGAAGAGAACCCACCTGGAATTAAGGAGAAACTTCCTAACAGTTAGAACAATTAACTAGTGGAACAGCTTGCCTCCAGAAGTTGTGGGTGCTCCAACACAGGAGGTTTTTAAGAAGAGATTAGACAACCATTTGTCTGAAAAGCTGTAGTTCCTGCCTAAGCAGGGGGGTTGGACTAGAAGACCTCCAAGGTCCCTTCCAACTCGGTTATTCCTTTGTAATATTTGAGGGTGGCAGCAAGGGAGTCTTTTGTTCTCTCCCCTGGATTGCACTGCCCATTTGCAGGTTCAGGGGTGAAATTCAGCTCGTTCTGGAGAACCAGTAGTGGAAATTTGGAGTAGTTCAGAGAACTGGCAAATACCACCTCTGGCTGGCCCCAGAGTGGGATAGGAACGGAGATTTTGCAATATCCTTCCCCCAGGAGTGAGGAGGGAATGGGGATTTTGCAGTATTCTTCCCCTGCCACACCCACCAAGCCACACCAAGCCACACCCACAGAACCGGTAGTAAAAAAATTTGAATTTCACCACTGTGCAGGTTTATTTATTTAGCATTTGATAACACATTTGTGGAGCTTGTAGGCCACTTGGCTGAGTTTCTCTGGCTGGCCCAGTTCTTCTTGACCTCTTTGTGATCTCTGAAACTTCATTGTTCTCATCCGCTCACTTACGGGACCATGGATGTGTTCTGCCTCTTCTTTTTCAACAAGATTTAAAGACATATATTTATAGTACCCTTCGCAGCCTATTTCCCAGGGTGGTTTTAAATGCAAATTAAAATGTGTTCTCCTGTATGTTTATGTAATTGTCTGTTTATTTATTGCTTCCCCACCATCTTTTTGCTAAAAGATATCAAGGCAGCATTCAAGGAAGCGAACAACAAATGATGAAGCGATGAGAGCCTCTAAAACGAGAACGCTGCCCAAAATATCAAGAAGGGAAATAAATACTGAGAGCTCTTAAATTGGCCAAGTTAAAAAGATGTGCCTTGGTCCTTTCTAGAGAAGGGGATTTCAGAAGAGTGGGGGTCACACCACCTTTTGAGGTGGGATGGCTGAAAGGCAACCTTATAAAGCAAAACCAGTTATTGAAGGTAAAAGGTAAAGGTTCCCTCACACATATGTGCTAGTCATTCCTGACTCTAGGGGACAGTGCTCATCACTGTTTCAAAGCCGAAGAGCCAGCGCTGTCTGAAAATGTCTCCGTGGTCATGTGGCCAGCATGACTAAACGCCAAAGGCGCACGGAATGCTGTTACCTTCCCACATTCCCTGTTTTTCTACTTGCATTTTTTACGTGCTTTCGAACTGCTAAATTGGCAGAAGCTGGGACAAGTAACGGGAGCTCACCCCGTTACGCGGCCCTAGGGATTCGAACCGCTGAACTGCTGACCTTTCAATCGACAAGCTCAGCGTCTTAGCCATTGAGCCACCGCGTCCCTTAGTCACTGAAACATGGGCTTAAATAAGCCCTTTAAAAATTGAGAGCAAAATACTTCCCACCATTTTAAATCCAACCTCCATCCAGCACTTAAAATAGAAACTTTTAAAGTACTAGAGAGAGTAGAAATTGCCTTAACTTGATCTATAAATGATGATCTACTGCATAAATATAAATTGAAGGTGAAAGATTTCATAAGCTTCCTGAATATTGGTTTTTTTTATTCCTCCCAGCGAGTTACCTGGTTTTGCCCTATTTCTAGCACTCTGCAGAAGCTGTCCATGACAGTTTGAAATGCTCATGTGTCAACTTGTACTTCGTATATACCCTATTAGACACCAACTTGTGATTTTTGTATAGGTGCATGGGTGGGTGTCTGGCTCAGCTGTGAATGCTACAGCAATCACGAGACAGAGAAAAAAAAAAACAAGACAAAACTTACAATTACTTACAGTTGCATTTTATGTATTTATATTTATAGTGGGAGACCAAATTTTCAAACAGGACAACTCTGTTCTTTTCAGAACCACAAACAAGGCAACTTTGACAGCAAGGTGTCAAAACTAAAACAGCAATAACCTTGTACAGAAAAGGCTGAAATAGTAATGTCAGGAATACACCAGGTGGCTTCTATAAGCCATGATTATTACTAGAAATGGCTGCCAATGATCCTGGTTCACAAAAGCAATTAAGCGTTTTAATCATTAGCTTATAGGTTTTGTCCTTCATTTAGTGTAAGTGGACTCTCTAACAGTACATGAGAATTAGAACGTCTAGATATCCTTTTCGTAGATGCTGGTTTATTTGCCAGTTGTCACCCTAATAGTAATTGTGGTTTCCTAACAGATACAATACGCACACCAATCCATTCTCAAAATCCTGCTTTAACTTCCAAATTGATAACACTGCATAGCTCCACTACCTATAACAATGACTTTGAGGCAGTGGTGAAATCCAATTTTTTTTACTACCGGTTCTGTGGGCGTGGCTTGGTGGGCGTGGCAGGGGAAGGATACTACAAAATCTCCATTCCCACCCCACTCCAGGGGGAAGGATACTGCAAAATCCCCATTCCCTCCCCACTCCTGGGGGAAGGATATTGCAAAATCTCCATTCCCACCCCACTCTGGGGCCAGCCAGAGGTGGTATTTGCCAGTTCTCCAAACAATTCAAAATTTCCGCTACCGGTTCTCCAGAATCTGTCAGAACCAGCTGGATTTCACCCCTGCTTTGAGGGATCTTTAGTGCTCACTGAGCTTGGTTGTTTTCTTGCAGACATTTCATTACCCCAGAAGGTAACATCATCAGCGCTAAAAGAGAGTGGGGTTTGCTCTCTGTTTATATACAAGTAGTTTGCCTTGAATAAATAAGTAACTCTCCAATTCAGTCCCAGGTGAAAGGTCTTCTGTGTGAGATGTGTGAAGTATTAAAAAAATATCTGGAACTCAACCAAGGAAGGATATTTATTAACCTATGATGCAAATGACATACTCTGGGGTCTACCTGTTTAATGATCTTATGTTCCAAATCCTCTACTAGAGAAAAACTGTGATTTTTGTCAAATGCTGGAAAGGGAAAACCACAATGAGGCAAATTAAAATCCATTTGTCTTAAGAAGGACTGAAAAGTGTTATCTGACCAACAGCTCTTCCTAAAGTAAAAGTTGGATACCATGGTGATGAGAAATGAGCTGTTTTGGGAGGTTTGCAGAAAATCTATGGGTTAAAAAGAAACTTTGTTGTTAAAGAGAGAGATCTGTGGCCAGAAGAAGGAGAGAAAGCAAGAAATTGGAGAAGTGAAACGTGGGATGAATCATGCCCCACTCATCATCATCATCATCATCATCATCATCATCATCATCATCATCGCCTTTATTGTCATTGTACATCATGTATACAACGAAATTGGTTTAGCCTCTACTGGTACAATCTATAACAGAAAATACAAGAGAACATGAATAGTATAGAGAATAATCCTTACACAAGTAATTGGGAAGGCTAGTGTTACCAGGGGTGAAATTCATTGACCTTCCCCATCGGTTTGCAAATATGTGCACGCCATGCGCACACACACTTTGCTTGCATGTGCCATCGTCCACGCATGTGCAAATCCTGCACATGCGCAGAGGCTGAAAATAGTTGCAAAAAAGGGACCTCATGACATCCAAGCGGGTGGGCAGGGATTAGCACAGTCAACCCTACCGGATCGCACGATCCGGATAGAACCAGCTGAATTTCACCCCTGAGTCATACGTTTCCAGATGTATGTGGAGTGATTGTGATGTTTAGGAGTCTGACAGCCCATCGGTAGAAGCTGTTTTTAAACCTGTTTCCCCATAAATAAGACCCTGTCTTATATATTTTTGAACCCTGAAATACGAGCTTGGCCTTATTGCCATGCGCTCAAAAGCCCAACTGGGCTTATTATCAGGGGAGGTCTTATTTTGGGGGAAACAGGGTAGCTATACTTCGATGTCTTCTGCCAGATGATAAAAGTGAAAAGAGACACTGGCCAGGATGTGAATCAGTGGTGGGATTCAAATTTTTTTACTACCGGTTGTGTGGGCATGGCTTGGTGGGCATGGTAGGGGAAGGTTACTGCAAAATCCCCATTTCCTCCCAATCAGCTGGGATCCGGGAGGCAGAGAATAGATGGGGACAGGGCCAGTCAGAAGTGGTATTTACCGGTTCTCCGACTACTCAAAATTTCCGCTACCGGTTCTCCAAAACTGGTCAGAACCTGCTGAATATCACCTCTTGTGTGAATCATCTCTAAGCATCTTCCTATGTCCTATTTTTTTAAAAAATCATTTTCCTTGCATTTTGTCCTAAGCTTCCGTAGCTGACACCACTTTCAGAACTAGATGAAAAGAGAGGGTAGCCCAGGGACGGACAAAAGTACTGTATGAGATCTGCTTCTTGTAGCCTTATAACATACTGATTGTGAAATATATTATGCAAATAAAGAGTGTGTCAGTTGTGACTATCTTAGTATCTTTCTTCATGGCCAACTCATTCTTTTATTCACCTAGACGTGCTTGTGTTATCCGTGGACAAGTGGTAGCAGTCGATGGAACCCCTCTGGTTGGGGTTAATGTGAGTTTCCAGCATCACAGTGATTACGGCTACACCATCAGCCGGCAGGATGGAAGGTAAACAATTGTTGCTTTCATATCTTCCTCTGATGTTTATTTTTGCTGATGAATTTTTTAATTACGGAATTAGGGTAATAGGTTGAAAGTAAAGGGACAGAGGGGAGATTGAAAGCCAAGAGTGCTTTGTCCATGAATTAAAAAGCCACCAAGAATCTGAATGATTCAATAGCATCACATACAACAACAACCCTTGAACACCATCAGCATTGACAAAATCCTCACCAGTCAATTGCAAAAGGCAGCTTTACTTGGAACAGCTTACATCCTGTGATGACACCTGTAATGTTATTAAAAGAAAAACCTGCCTCTTTCATCAGGAAAGACTTGATAGCTGGATAAAAATGCCAGATCCAATCTAAAAGTCTGGCTGATTGTGTGACCGACCATCATAACAATTATATTAAACTTGTGTGTAAATGAAACTTAAATTAAACTTATGCCACCTGATCTCTAAAGAGTCTGAATCATAGTAATAATAGAGGACTCAATTGAATGGAACTGAATGAACTGATTAATGAATGGATTACATGTAAAAGATTCTGTACATCCAAAATGCAGTACTGTAAGATAGATAATAGAAGAGGAAGGAGGAGAAGGAGAAGAAGGAGGAGGAGGAGACAGACAGACAGACAGACAGACAGACAGACAGACAGACAGACAGACAGACAGACAGACTGACAGACAGGGATGATGGATGGATGGATGGATGGATGGATGGATGGATGGATGGATGGATGGATAGATAGATAGATAGATAGATAGATAGATAGATAGATAGATAGATAGATAGATAGATAGATATGATGGACAGATGGATGACAGATAGAGAGTGGGAGATAAATAAGCAAACAGAGAGACAAACATGGAGTATAATAATTGTAAATGACACCACAGCAGAATGAAAACCTCTTTAGGTTGTGGATTGTAATCTGTCAATCCAGTATTGTTAGATGGATGTTTTTGGACCACAAAGTCTAGGGCTGAGAGCCAGGGACATGCCCAAATTCATTCAACTGGCTTCTATGCCTAAGCACGGAATAAAATTTGGTTTTCCCACTCCTAATCCAGCACCTTAACTGCTGCATCATATACATATACATAATTACACATGTGCATAGACATATATACACACATATATGTATGCACACCTACAGAAGCATAGACATACATTTTAATAGACTGTTTTTCCTTCTTTCCCTTGTGCATTAACACATCTGAACCAAAGGAAGTAAATAAAACCTCAACCCAGCCCTGAGATTAAAATTGGCTGATTAAAAGAGGGACCTACCAATTAATCAGTTCAACCAATTAAAGCTCACAGAAGCAGAAAAAGCTCATGTTCAGAAATTTCATGCTTTCGTTCCTGCTTATTGCAATGTAAATACTCTAAATCTGAGAGTAAAAAATCCATAGCAGTGATTGTAAGCAATGAAGCTAGTCTCTCTCTCTCTCTCTCTCCCCCCGCCTTCCTCTCCCTCTCCCTCTCCCTCTCTCCCTCTGTCTTTCCCTCTGTGTGTGTGAGAGAGAGAGAGAGAGATTTTGAAGGATCTAAGTTGCAAGTAATCTTTTTATTTTTATTCCTCATTGTATATAATCTATGTAATGTTTGAGAAATTTGGTGGATTATACATAATTAAGTCTAACTCCTTATCAGAATTCATTACCATGGAAGATTTCCATACAAAGTTCATCTAGTCATAAAGTAAAGAAATCTTATTTATGCCACCTTACTTTAAATGACAATATTAAAATTATAAGACAGTAGCTCTTTATCTGCTCTGTACTTTTTCTGGAATTCAGAAGACTTCTTTCTATCACTACCCACTGACCCTTAATAAAAGCAGAGTGCAATTATTATTTTCTTTTTTTGCATGTCTTGGTCATACAGTTTTGGCTCCACAAATAGCACTTAGACTTATATACCGCTTCATGGTGCTTTACAGCCCTCTCTAAGCGGTTTACAAAGTCAGCCTCTTGCCCCCAAACATCTGGATCCTCATTTTACCAACCTCGGAAGGATGGAAGACTGAGTCAAGCTTGAGCCGGTCAGGATCGAACTGCTGGCAATTGGCAGAATTAGCCTGCAATACTGCATTCTAACCACTGCGCCACCACATCGCTTATGCATGGAGGCATTCAGAGCCTGATCATCAGGAATATAAGAAATGACATAAAAAGTCATGGTAGAAATGATACAGGGAAAAGTCTCTTCCAATTTACCTTCAGGAATTAACCTCAAAACTATTTAGCACAGAGTTCCCATTGATTTTTGCTATGCGAGCAGCCTACCAACTACTAAAAGGCAGAAGTTTACTACAAGTAGCACCAGACATTCCTCATCAGCTTCTTCCCAGAATTGTTGGATTTAATTGCCTAAGTCAATTTTATTTTGATCAATACTCAAGAACCTGCGTTAAAACATAATTAGAAAAGAAAAAAAGCACTCAGGCTTACATCAGCCGTTGCCTCGCATTCATTGTGACAGCACAGAATTGGATATCTAAGAGAAGGAGGCTCACATAAACACTGTCTGTTCTTGAGTGATGATGCAGTAAAATGATCTTCAAAATGTCTTTTTAGAAATTACAATAGTATGTGACGAACTGTTTCTGTCCTCCTAGATCGTCTTAGGCAGTTATGCCCAACTAGTAGGGTGCAGAAAATATCTATGCAGACTTTCAGTCATCCAGGTCATGGTTGTCCCAAAAGTGCCTCCCCGCCCCCAAAATAAAAGGCAACTGGACTTCTTTTTTTTTTCTTTTTCTTGAAGATTTTCGCTTCTCATCCAAAAAGCTTCTTCAGTTCAGAACTGAAGAAGCTTCTTGGATGGGAAGTGAAATGTCTTCAAGGAAAAACAAAGAAAGTTCAATTGCCTTTTGAACAAAAAAAAAAAAGCTCTTTTGGTGCAGAAAAATACTTAATAGAAGAATTAAAATCATCATGGGATAATTTTGGTATCCAGCTAAATCAAAAGGTTTGTGTTCTTTTTTTTTTTTTTTTTTAGTTTTGATCTAGTGGCTGTCGGAGGCATCTCAGTCACCCTGATCTTTGATAGATCACCGTTTCTTCCCGTGAAAAGGACACTTTGGCTGGCCTGGAATCGATTTATTGTGGTCGACAAAGTGGTCATGCAAAGAACAGAGGCGGAACTGCCCACCTGTGATATCAGTAGCTTCATCAGCCCGAATCCAATTGTCATCCCTTTTCCTCTGACGACGTTTGGAGGATCATGTCCTGAAAGGGGAACAGTCATACCTGAATTACAGGTAAGAGAGATGTAAACAGTGTTGTCATGTTATTGAGAAAAGAACAGAAATGGAGGCCCTTAGTTGCTTTCTAAGCCTGGTTCTTTTCTTGTAGATGTTTCATTACTCATTGTCAGATCCCTATCCAGGGTGAAGGGAGGACCCTGGATATAGTGTGTTTCCCCAAAAATAAGACCCTGTCTAAAAAATTTTTGAACCCCGAAATAAGCACTTGGCCTTATTTTTGGGGAGGTCTTATTATTTTTGGGGTGCATGGAGGAAACCAGAGGAAATGGCAGGGACTTTCTGCGAATGTGTTTAAATATTTTTGGGGAGGGCTTATTTTCAGGGGAGGGCTTATTTTATGCATGCGCTCAAAAGCCCGATTGAGCTTATTATCAGAGGATGTCTTATTTTAGGGGAAACAGGTTATTATTTAGTTTATTACTTTCTTCCTTATATCTCCCACACCCTGTACCCTATTGATTTATAACCTTTATCTTGGCACATAGGCGCCCTGTGATTTTCTCACCTTTTGGGGAATGTAAGGGGAGGGAGGGCCACTAATAATAATGTGGGTTGAATCACTTCAAAAGCCGGCAGAGGATAACCTTGAGAAAGTTCCCTTATCAAGTTCTCAGGATGGCCGTTACAATAATATCTCCACACCTGCGGATTGGCTGAATCCACGTTGGACTGAAGGGAGGGGTTTCTAATTCCTTTATCCTAATTGTATTGCCTGAGGGAATTCAGAGTCTGATTTTCTTTCGTCTTGCTATCACTCCAGTTCAATAAAAGGTTCCTTTTGAAATGCCAAAGTTTCAAGAGTCTTTACTTTCTTGAATGAGGAGGAGAGGCCAGACCTTACACTCATACTCGGTGGCATCATCAGTGCTAGTGGGGAGTGGGGTTTGCTCTCAATTTATATTCTAGTGGTTTGCCTTGACGGTGTTTGTGAAAGTGGTCTTTATTGGAAGGAGTGGGAAAGTGTCGAGTTAGGCTTCTTTATCTATCTAAAGTTTGTCTCTTATTATTTATTGATTAAAGTTATTTATTGATAAAATTTAGATACTGCCCATCTCACTTTCAGTGTGATTCTGAGTAGTGTGCAATTAAAAACAAAGTTAATTCTTGACATTAATTAATCCATCGTAAAGGTTAATGAATTACTTTAGTGTCTTTAATATGTGCAGAAATATAGTTTGTTTATTTTATTTATTAATTAAATTTATATGCACCCATCTCATTGTATGAAGTGAGTCTGGATGGCTTCCAGAATCCCTAAATTCATCAGTTCTTAAAATGCTAGGCCAGTCAACCATAGCTATTCACTACTTTTTATTAGCACAATGTGATTTATTAAGTTCTTCTGATTGGAAGGCAGTTTGATCAACTCTCTGAATTGAATCCATTTAATCTGAAGATTCTGTGGACTTTTGTACATGCAGACATGTGCTTTTATCAGGCTGACTTTCTCAAACAATTCAATTTCACAACTGCAATTGCAAATCCAAACAGATCAGATCGACTCAATTTTAAATAAATTGCAAATCAGGATTTGGCTGCTTTCAATTGCCACAGAAATTATGGCTTGGAATTCTAGGAATTACAAGTAGTCCTTGACTTACAACAGTTTGTTTAGTGACGGTTCAAATTTACAATGGCACTTTAAAAGTGACTTATGACCTTTTTTCATGTTTACAGCTGTTGCAGAATCCCCTCGGTCACATGATCAAAATTCAGATGCTGAGCAATCAACTCATTTTGATGACCGCTGCAGTGTCTGAAGGTCACATGATCCCTCTTGCGACCTTCTGACAAGCAAAGTCAATGGGGAAGCAAGGTTGACTTCACAAGTGTGATACTAACTTAACCACCTCAGTAATTCACAACTGGGGCTCGAAAAGTCGTAAAATGGGGCAAAAAATTCACTTAATAAATGTCCCGTTTAGGAACAGAAATTTTGGGTTCAATTGTGGTCGTAAATCGAGGATTAGATGTACAGTCCCAATTTATCTGGAAGATGCCAGATTAAATTAGAAATCTGGCCCAGAGCAGTAACTCCAAGCGGTTAGGATCTTCTGCATGAAAAGCCATAAAGCTTTTGGAAAGCAAAACTCTACTGCAGTGGTGAAATGTAAAATTTGTTACTACCGGTTCTGTGGGCGTGGCTTGGTGGGGGTGGGGGTAATATGACTGAGTGGGCGTGGCCAGCTTTTTTTTCTTTTTTCTTTACTTTTAAAACCATTTTTTCTACAACCTCTTAGGCTAAAGAGGTTGTAAAAAAAATGCTCAGCTGACTTGCTGATCGGCAGAGGCTTTCTTTTTTTAAAAAAAAAGCCTCTGACGATCCCAGCTGACTTGCCTGATTGGCAGAAGCTTTTTTTTTAAAGCCTCTGACGATCCCAGCTGACTTGCCTGATCAGCAGAGGCTTTTTTTCCTTTTAAAGACATTTTTTCTATAACCTCTTCAGCCGAAGAAGTTGTAGAAAATATGCTTTTAAAAGCCTCTGATGATCCCAGCTGAGCCGCGCGATCATCAGAGGCTTTTTTTTTTTACTTTTAAAAGCATTTTTTCGGCCAAAGAGGTTGTAGAAAAAATGCTTTTAAAAATTAAAAAAAAAAAGCCTCTGATGATTGCGCGGCTCAGCTGGGCAATGGGAGAGGGGCAGGGATTTTTGCTACCGGTTCTCCGAACCACCCGCCTCCATCGCTATCGGATCGGGCGATCTGGTCCGAATCGGGAGCATTTCACCCCTGCTCTACTGACTCCCAAGATTATTAACCATTGTTGAAACGTTTCCTGCATGGAATTGTCTAAACTATCTTTAAAGCTATCTGTGAACACAGCCTTCTTTATGGCGGTGAACTCCGTGTGTATGGACATTATCTCAGTCACCAGAGAAACCCGACATGGTAGATTCTGACAAGATTTGTTGTGATGTTAACATGCACAACTCTTTTTTTTTTTCCAGGTGGTCCAGGAGGAAATATCATTTCCTTCCAGCTTTGTGAAGCTGAGTTACTTGAGCAGCAGAACTTTGGGATATAAAACTTTGCTGCGCATCATTTTGACACATTCTACGATCCCTCCCGGCATCACCAAAGTGCATCTCACTGTAACAATTGAAGGACGGCTGGCTCAGAAATGGTTTCCTGCTGCAATCAACCTCATCTATACTTTTGCATGGAATAAGACGGATATTTATGGCCAGAAAGTATCCGGCTTGGCAGAGGCAATAGGTATGGTCTGCTTTAACAATACTATTGTGGGTGTGCTATAGGAGTAAGAGCTAGCTCCGTTTTGATGCAAGTTATCCCTTCCAAACATTAATCATGTTCATTTCTATAGCCAATGTCAATATCAAGTGCGAGGAAATCAGGAAATCCAAGCAATTCAAATGAATGTATAGATTTATTGCAAGCTTAAGCTCTCTATTTAATAGATGAACTGAGTTGGAAGGGGCCTTGTCCAACCCCCCACCCAAGCAGATTCTCTACAAGAATCTGAGCTACTAACGGTCAAAGTGAATTGAGTGTAGCTAAGAGTCAATGGAATTCAAAGTTGTTTGGACTTAGATTTCGTGTGGACGTGAAGGGATTTGAGTGTCAGACCCGCCAACCATTTAAATAGAAATGATCCTTGGCTCCATTTGTTGAAAAAGGCATAGTTATATTAGAGGTGAAGTGCATTGCAGTAGAGCATAACCAGAACTGAGAACCGTGTGCCAAAATCCCTAAATTCAACTTCCCCCCCCCCCACTTAATTGCCTCCCATTGCTGTCCCCTCACCATGACCAATCAGGTTCAAGCAAGATGTTTTCAGAATGGTCAGTTCAAGCCTAGGTTAGTATGCAGCTGCCATCTTCTCTCAGCTCGGTGACCTTGAGGCAGCATCTTGGGGAGATTCAGCAGTTACTTTCACTTTCCCCCAAGTATTCCCCCGTCCCATCCACCCTCCCCAGACTGTCACCGCATGGTAGCAAAGTGCAAGCAAGTGTAAGGTGGCAGCTGACATCGAGACTGATGATGCACGTGACCCCTCCCTCGGGCTCAGCCTGGTCAACTCCTACAGGTAGCATATCTAGATCACAACAGCACTGAAGATGAGGAACTCAAAACAGAGATTTGCACATTTGGAAAATAATCTCTCTCCCAGTTGTTTCAATTAACCTCTCATTCTAGCTCTTTCACATAAAAAGCAATGGGGCCCCTGCAGCTGAGCACCAGAACACAAAGTCAGTTTTTGAAAGCAAATGAGAAAGGAAATATCTCCAGGAAGCTTTGAGTTTGAAATATGTCCAGCCCCAAATGGATTGCTCTAGATTTACCAGTAGTGTTTGGAAATTATTCCAGAAAGGATCCGATGTGACCTTGCTTCAGTCTCAAAAGAGCACCTTCAGAATGTCTGGGACAACCTTAGAATGCTACCGGTAAGACATCTGGTCCTTGACTTACAACCAGAACTGAGCCCAAAATTCCTAAACAAGACAGCTGTTAAGTTTTTGTTTTTGTTTGTTTTTATTGAATTTGTATACCGCCCTACTCCCGAAGGACTCAGGGCGGTGAACAGCCATAGAATAAAACAATCTAAATACAAAATTTAAAATAGAATAAAACGAATTAAATAATTTGGCTGAATTTAAAACCCCAATACTTTAAAACCAAATTTAAAATTTCCATTTAAAAAAGGGAAAGACTTAGGACAGGCCAGCCTGATGAAACAAGAAAGTCTTAAGCACGCGACAGAAGGTACGCAGATCCGGGATCCTCCGTATCTCTGGGGGGAGCTCGTTCCAGATAGTAGGTGCCCCCACAGAAAAGGCTCTCCCCCTGGGGGCCACCAGTCAACATTGTTTGGCCGACGGCACCCGGAGGAGCCCCTCTCTATGGGAGCGTACTGGTCGGTGGGAGGCTATTGGTGGTAGTAGGCGGTCCTGTAAAGTGAGTTACACCTCATATTATGAGATATATATTTTTTGCCAAAGTTGTTAAGCAAATTGTTGCTGTTGTTAAGTGAATCATACAGTCACTAAGCAAAGCTGGACACCCCTATTGACTTTGCTTGTTGGAAGCTGGCAGGGAAGATTTCAAATGGTGATCACATGACTTCAAGACAGTGTGTAAATGTCTGTCAAAAATACATTCCAGTTCCCAAATGGCCAAATTTTGATCACGTGACTATGGGAAGGCTGCTACAACGGTCATAAGTGTGAAAAATGGCCCTATGTCATTTTTTTCAATGCCATTGTAACTCCGAATGGTCACTGAACAGACAGACAATTGTAAGTCAAGGACTGCCTGTATTTTGAATTCAGACAGGGGAGGCCTAGATAGCATGCTTTCTGAAATCTTTTCTGACCCCTTCATAGGCAGTGACCCCTTAACAGGAGTGGGATTCAGCAGGTTCGGACCGGTTCGGGCGAGCCAGATGCTAATTTTACATCTGGTTTGCCGAACCGGTAGTTGCAAGGACTGGCTGGCCCTGCCCACCCCACCCCGCCCCTCCCAGGAGTCTCCACGTGGCCCGTTTTGGATGCCAGGTAAGTGCAGGGCCCACACGGAGGCTCTGGGAAGGCAAAAAATGGGCCTCCCGAAAGTTCTGGAAGTCTGGAAATGGGTCTGGAGGAGCCTCCAGAGCCCGGGGAAGGTCGTTTTTGCCCTCCCAGAGGCTCGAGGAAAGCCTCCCGGGCCTGGGGAGGATGAAAACACCCTCCCACCATGGTGCAGGAGGCCGAGTAGGCCATGCCCACCATGGCCATGACCACCCAGCAACTGGGCAGAGAACCGGTTGCTAAAATTTTTGAATCCCACCTCTGCCCCTTAATATGTTTGTGTGTCTAGGGGGTGTACCAAGGAAACTCCAAACAGGCCAAATAGATTCTACTGTGGGTCACATGAGGGGAGAAGGGGCTTTAATACAGAAATCTGTGATTTTATAAGCTTCTGCCCAGTTTGTTTGTTTGTTTGTTTGTTTGTTTGTTTGTTTGTTTATTTATTTATTTATTTATTTATTTATTTATTTATTTATTTATTTGATTTATATGCCGCCCTTCTCCGGGTTTTTTCATGAAATGTTTTTCTTCTTAACTCCCAGCGAGATGTGGTTGCCTATTTTCAGCCTCTACGTTTCTTTTCCTGGGTTCTTCCGTGATTTCAGAGTTTCTCACATTCTATTCAATTTTGGGAGAGTTTTCACATCAGGAAATAGACAGGCAGAGTTCCCAAGCCACTTTCTATCATTTTTCCAACATCCGTTGAGTTGCAAAAAGAAAGAAAGAAAGAAAGGAAAGGAAAGGAAAGGAAAGGAAAGGAAGGAAGGAAGGAAGGAAGGAAGGAAGGAAGGAAGGAAGAAAGAAAGAAAGAAAGAAAGAAAGAAAGAAAGAAAGAAAGAAAGAAAATGGACACTTAGAAGCTGGAAAGGGAAGTTTTGCACTTAGAAATGTTCAATTTGATTGTTTGGGGCACCCTTCAGAAAGAGTCATTGCCCATGTGGGCAGCAGGAGACCGATTAATACTTCTTTAATATTTTATGCAATTTATTTTAATATTGCATGCATCTTCCACTGATTTTATGAAAGCTTCCCACTTCATCCTCATGATTTTTGTTGGTGTTGCCTCTCATCCATCACAGTAGTTGCCACCCTGTGAAATTATTATTGATCATAAGCACACCAAGCACTTTGTAAATGAAATGTTCCAATTTTGGATCTTAGCATAGCTGTCTCCAACTCTCAAAATGAATCTTTCTGATTCCACTCAATGTATTAGATATATTCCATCCAATGCATGAGTACATATGCACAAACACACACATACACATAAAATTCTCTTATAGCTGATGTAAAGATAAAGGTAAAGGTTCCCCTCGCACATATGTGCTAGTCGTTCCTGACTCTAGGGGGCGGTGCTCATCTCCATTTCTAAACTGAAGAGCCAGCGCTGTCCGAAGACGTCTCCATGGTCATGGGGCCGGCATGACTCAACGCCAAAGGCGCACGGAACGCTGTTACCGTCCCACCAAAGGTGGTCCCTATTTTTCTACTTGCATTTTTTACGTGCTTTCGAACTGCTAGGTTGGCAGAAGCTGGGACAAGTCACAGGAGCTCACCCCATTACGCGGCACTAGGGATTATATATAGCTGATGACCCACATCTAATTTGAAGTGAGTTGGATTGCTTTGATTTTCAGACAGGCTTCTCAGTTCAGTAGGTGCTCGACATAGTTTTCTCCATCTCTTCTCTTTCTGACAAACATCCCTGCATTGACGAGCAGATTTGATATCCAGCTGCTGAATGCCATTCTTCAGCTCCTTAGATTAAAATTTCTAACTGGCAGCCAAAGTTATCGATGTCTGGAGAACACACACACACAAATACACACACACACACACACACACACACCATGCTGTGCCTTGCAGTCTTATTTACCTGTTTCTTACCTTTGAATAAACACACTTCTTGACCTATATCTTAGAGGTATTTGAAAAACAGAATCAAGCGATATGCTGCCATCTGGAGGAGACTGCGGATAATTTCACAGGACCGTTTTGGAAAGCAATAACGGCAAGGAGGAAGGAAGTCAATCAGACCAGAGGTGGAAGGGACCTTGAAGGACTTCTAGTCCAACCCCTTGCTCAAGCAGGAGACCCTGCTTTCAGACAAGCGACTGTCCACTCTCTTCTTAAAAATCTCCAGGGATAAAGCACCTAAAACTTCTGAAGGCAAGGTGTTCCACTGGTTAATTGGCCTCACTATTTGGAAGTTTCTCCTTAATTCCACATTGCTTCTGTCCTTGATTAGTTTCCATCCATTGTTTCTTGTCCTGCCTTTTGGTGCTTGGGTAAATAAGTTGACCCTCTCCTGTTTGTGACAACCTCTCAAATACTGGAATACTGCTATCGTGTCTCCCCTAGTCCTTCTTTTCTCTAGATTAGCCAAACTCAAATCCTGCAACCGCTCTTCATATGTTTTAGTCTCCAGGCCTTTAATCAACTCAGTTGTTCCAAAGTCTCAACATCTTTTTTGTAATGTGGTGACCAGTAGTGGGATTCAGCCAGTTTGCACCTATTTGGGAGAACCGGTTGTTAACTTTCTAAGCAGTTTGGAGAACTGGTTGTTGGAAGAAATCTTATTTTGTTTTTTCCCACTTTACAGGGCTAATCCTGTAAGGAAGGCAGGAAGGAAACATTCTGGTGGTGTTTCTAGCCTAATCTTTACTGCCCTGCTTACAGAAACTGCCT